CATACATATATATATATATATATATATATACATATATATTTCTTGTTTGTTCGCCTTGCAGCTGACTGACAGCTAATTATATTTTTGTCAAACTTATGCTTGCTTATCAGGAATGTGCATCTGAGAGGATCTATACACAGCAACAGGCATTAGATTACCTAGATGGAAAGGTGAGTTTTTTCAATTTTTGATATGTACAGCTTCCTTTTATATTTCTCTTTAATATGATATGCTCATACTCTATCAGGGTTTATTTTGAATAGTTTGCAATGAATTTATTAGTTTTATCGGATGAACACTGCTAATGTGCAAAATGTAAATATTCAGTTATGTAATATTTTTCGTCATGTGAATTGTATCTGTTTTATCTAGCTTCAGTTCTGATTCCAATGGAAAGTCTTGATGTGATAGCAAGAGTTGAGGGCTGATAATTTACTGCTTTTCATTAGCTGTTTTGTTGAAAGCCTTGAAGTGTGAGATGCATGCCTTGGTCTTTGTAAGATGCTAATTTGTGGGGCTTGAAGATTGCCTGTTTGTCCATCCTGTTTTGTATTGCTGTGGTGTAGGATTAGGCATAGTTCCAATGTCTTGATGAGCATAGCTTACTTAAGGATGTCCACAGGTTTGTTATGGCAAGGTCAAGCTTCAGTTTGTCCAACACTGATGTTCTGTTTTAACTAGCTTCAGTTTCTCCAACATGGATGTTCTGTTGTTCTGATTCCTATGGAAAGTCTTGATGTGATAGCAAGAGTTGAGGGCTGATAATTACTGCTTTGCATCAGCAGTTTTGTTGAAACCCTTGGAAGTGTGAGATGCATTCCTTAGTCTTTGTAATATGCTCATTTGTTGACCTTGAAGATTCCCTGTTTGTCCATCCTGTTTTGTATTGCTGTGTGTAGGATGAGGCATGGTTCCAATGTCTTGATGAGCATGGCTTACTTAAGGATCTCCACAGGCATGTTTTTGGCAAGGACAAGGGTGAACATGCAATGGGCAGGACATGAGTGGAAACCACAAGGCTGGCCCAATTTTGGCACAAAGTTTTTCCATGGGTGGGTAATCATAAAGAAGTAATGCAAATTCACCTGGACAAGAATGTACTTATCAGTAAGGATGTGAACTGGCATGCAAACTGCCCAATTTCAAGCAGTCCCTAGGCAGTACATGGCTTATCACCTTGTAAGCCTTATGAATTGGGCTTACTGTCTTATGCTCGGTAATGGCCCTGGACTAGATGGTATGATCTGGTCATTGTTACCAGTATTCAAAATCGAAAACCTTGATCTTCGGGGCTTATGGTTCAGGTGGTATGGTCTAGTATAAAAAATTGAGAACTTAATCTTAAATATTGTTCGGAAATGATAGTATTGTCTAATATAGTTCTGTTACAAAATTAAGTGCCGATTTAGAGGTGTTTTTATAACAAAATTTGTAACTTCTGCTTCAAAACATCCAAAATATATGATGATTTGGTTTATACTTTTAAGCTTCATATTAGAGACAACTATGGGTCACAGGGCAGTATAGTTGTAACCACAAGGTCTGAAATATCAGTCGTGCTTATACCAACCTCAGATGGAATTATATGTACCATTACTGACTAGCTATGAGTGTTGGTATGGGTCTAGATCCATTGGTAGTAACAGGTCCAGTCAATTCAGTATCCATACGTGACCTCTCTTTGATGCATATACTATATATTACATGTGATTTCCTATCTTAACATTTTTATGACCTGTTATCAATTATTGTCCTTGTGTAGATATAGATTAGCTTTATACAAATTATGCTTGAACTAACTCAAAATTAAAACTTAAATGCTCCATTAATGTCTACATTAAAAGTTAATGCTTAGTTGCTGATGAAAATCTAGAACGCCAAATGAATGCTTTTAACAAAAATGTTACTGGGATAATCCAGAATAAAAGAGAGCTCTAATTGAGGAGGGGTGGTAGTCTCACAAATTGGAGAGGAAATGAGAGAAATAGTGAAGAAAGATTTTTAAGCATCCCTGGATGAAAATTTCAGCTAAAGAGGAGCTTGAGTTGGAAAGGGATTCGGCATTTGGCTTCCTGCCCAGTGTAAGGTCTCAAATACCAAGTGGTAGGCTTTGTATCTGACAAGTACCAGCTGATAATCTCGTTATAAGCCCCTATTAGTCACTTTTGGTGGGTCCACTTACTGGTCCATGGCCGGTCAGCAGTATTTTAAACCATGGTCGAACATACTGTTCCAGGTTTTAATATGCAGTTTGTACAGCATAATCGCAGAATATGTTATACACAGGAAAAACTTCTATCATACAGTTGTGTTTAATAATTCAAAGAACCAAGAGTTAGAGCCAAGCCTGGTGAATTTCTATGGTCTCTATCTTTTCTATAATAATTTACATATATCTATCTGAAACGTTTCTTTTCTGGATTTTACAGGTTGGAAGTTCTAATTCTGCGAGAGCTGGGAATAGAAAGGTGCTTTGATTAGCTGAATATTAGATGAATTTGTGCTCAAGCTATCGAACGCTCGTTTTGCAACATGTTTCATGGGAGCATTGTGAATTTAAGGATCAAACTATTTAGCACATGTCATGCAAAAATTATTCGAATGTTTTGCATCATCATGAACTTTTATACTTGGGGCGTATGAATTCCCTGCATAGCATTGAATATAGCTGGGGTTGAGTGCATGTTGTTCCTCTGCCTTTTTCTTATGATGCTCAAGAAATATGTGTGTTGGTTTTTATGTTCAACAAAATTCTCATGTCTGCAGGAAGGGCTAGCTAAGGCTATTCTTCTTGATGTATTTCTTGCAAATGTTCCGGTACAGTATATATTCCCCAGATTTAAGCATGTATGTTGATTTGTTTTCAGTAAAAACTTTCAGCCTCATGTGCTTTGTAGGTATTCCGAGGTAATTTTCGTCCTAGATGCATATATGCTGCTGTAATGTTAAGACGCATGTTGGATGCAATTCTCAATACAGACACATTTGATGATAAGGTGTGGTGAAAATATAAAATTTTGATTTCATTGTCAAATTTAGTAATAATTTATCTCTTAATATTTCACTTACATTAGGATTGTGGATATCTATATATATCAACTTGGTGCCTTTGATATTGTTGTAAATGAAGTGGATTAACTGTAGGTTCACATTTTTTCATGGTTATCTCCTGTGGTTTTCTTTCATGATATATAATGCACAAAATTTAATAAATATTGGCTATACAATTTTTGTATGCTTAAATTGTTGTCCTGTTCACATCAAGGTTTTTAATCTCGTATCGTACTGATGTATCAAGATTTTCTCGGTACAGTACGATACCAACGTATCGAGCGGTACGTCTAAAATAGGCATAAATCTCTCCAAAAATACCTAAAAAAAAAAAAAAGAGTTGCACGTTTTAGCTGAAAATGATATTTAAATTTATAAAAAATGGAGTCATTAGAAAAAAGTTAACTAATGAAACATTAAAAGCTGAAATCTATGGTTCATCCTATCATAAACTGATTTTTCCTTAAAATTATATCGCAATAATTCCTGCATGTTTTAGCTGAAAATGATATTTAAATTTATAAATCTGAAGTATTGGACAATGACTTGCATCATATTATCTTCTTGAAATCATTGTTAAGACAATTTCATGTACTGTTTCTAGAATTTCAGCAGCTTTATGCTTTCATTTCAATTCAATGAGTTGCAGTAATCCTCTTTGAGACTCCATCAACACTTGTTCTACATCAAATTGCTACCAAAAATTCCTGGTTTAACAAGAAATTCTAACAATCAACATCAAAGCTGAAATCTATGGTATCGCTGGTACAAGTCGGTAATGGTAGAAATTTTGACCGTTATCGCCTGGTATAGCCTCGTATCACTCGGTACGGGGCTAAAACCTGATACCACCCGGTAGCGGGCGGTCCATGTGCCGGTTTGCTGCGGATTGATACTTACGTTCGTACCGGGTGGTACGTACGAAATTAAAAACCCTGATTCACATAAAATGTGTATTCTTTTGGTTTATTGCATATAATACTAGAAAAATAGTTTCATAACTTCTCTCTATCCTCAGCGCCTATGCTTTTTTTTTCTCATTACTAACTCAACCTAGTTTAACTTCTTTAAACAGTAATTGCAGCTGATAAATAAATGCCAATTTTGTTTTTCATGCATGTTTATCTATTGTAGTTTTGTTACTGCAGCTCTTTCTGGGGATTGGGTCTGGGAGGTTCTTGTGCAATTATCAAAAGAAAAATGTGCCAAGGCTAATATCAAGATATTGATTTGGATGGACCATTCAAACAAAGATGAGATCATGATCAGTCAAATCACTTGATTTGTATCAGGACAGAAAATGAAAAAGGAAAATAAGTTGATTAATAAAAATAAAATGCTTAATTATTCAGTAACTGAAAAAAGGGAAGTCCTTAGTGTATAAGGTTCCCGTCAATGCAGGGTCAATATGTTATCTCTAAATATAGAGAGACTGATTTTGTCATTCGAACCCTGGTCTAATTATTTAGATCGGGCTGCAAAGGAGCAATTCTAATTATTTAGCAACTCTAAATTCCAATAAATATCAGGGGATTTTTTGACGATGATGTTGCATTTACTATATATTTTTGATGTCAATATCAGGATTATGTGGGTAACAAGCGGTTGGAGCTATCGGGACAACTGGTTTCCTTGCTCTTTGAGGTCAGTTACAGATGTCATAGGCTTGTCTCATGTGAATACTTGAAGACTAATAGTTTTGCATTTATTGAAACTTGTTTTTGCAGGATTTATTCAAATCAATGAATGCTTTTGCTCTAGAACTTGTCAACAGAGCATATGAACACGCTAGCCGTTCTAGTCCTCTGGATTTTATCCATGTAAGTTGCAATAAATTTTAGAAACTTGTATTAATATGGCAAAATATCTCGTTTGGCTACCAGATATTGTATGTTTCGGCATATTTGTCTTCATGTACACGTCTCTTGCATATACACCAAGCATCTAAAAGTTTACCCTAGGGCATGTTTCTTCTTTTACGGAGATGATTTTGTCTAACATCTTCTGTCACTGTTATGCACACAGTCTCTTATCTATAACATTGTATGTCTGCAATTTCATCCAGACTTCCTCCGCTTTAACTAAATAATCTGAATGAGCCATATCAATTTTTAATACTGATAATTTTATTGATCTTGCTATGGAGGACATGTTTTATCAATGAAAGACAGAAATTAATATATCAATTAAGATGCCTTCATTTTATTGGAATTCATCCGTTTAATTATTTTGCAATGATGAATACTTGCACAATGTGACCTGTGTAAAATAAATCACCAATTATTAATATAATCTGGTTTTGTTCCTTAGTGATATTACAAGTAGGATGCAGATATTCTCCTTATGCAAGTCCTGGATTTACACATCTGGATTATGGACCTTTGTGATATCTGTGTTATGTTTTATTCTCTATTTCCATCAGCATTAGAATTAACAAAATGAGAAAACAACAGCTATTTGTAACATGATGTTGTAATACTGAAAATTTTATTGATCTTGCTATGGAGGACATGTTTTATCAACGAAAGACAGAAATTAATATATCAATTAAGATGCCTTCATTTTATTGGAATTCATCCATTTAATTATTTTGCGATGATGAATACTTGCACAATGTGACCTTTGTAAAATAAATCACCAATTATTAATATAATCTGGTTTTGTTCCTTAGTGATATTACAAGTAGGATGCAGATATTCTCCTTATGCAAGTCCTGGATTTACATATCTGGATTATGGACCTTTGTGATATCTGTGTTATGTTTTATTCTCTATTTCCATCAGCATTAGAATTAACAAAATGAGAAAACAACAGCTATTTGTAACATGATGTTGTAACTTAATGGCTTTGCAGTATATAAAGCAAGATTTTATCACACATGGCTTAGAAAAAGCTATCTCAACAGGTAATTGGGATTTAAAACGGTTTAAAATGCACCGAAAAGGTGTATCTCAGGTAATGATTTCTCCCTTCTCTACTCTTTTTTTGGGCTTTATCTCTTTAGTATAAATACTGAAGTAGTTTCATGTCCTGCTTCTCAGGTTGTTTCAAGATTATCATACATAGCAGCTTTAGGCCATATGACCCGGATATCACCACAGTTTGAGAAGACTAGGAAAGTAAGTGGACCAAGGGCCCTGCAACCAAGTCAGGTAATCTCTTTCAGTGCCTGCTTGAAAGTTTCCTTAGATGTCTATACCATTTCATTCCTTGGTGTTTGGTTTTTGATGTATATAAAATGTATCTGTAACAGTGGGGTATGCTTTGCCCTTGTGACACTCCTGAAGGAGAAGGTTGTGGGTTGACAAAAAACTTGGCTTTGATGACTCATGTCACAACTGATGAGGAGGAAGGCCCGCTGATTTCTCTGGTTTGTCACTTGTTTAAATATTACATCTCTATTACTTAAGATTGGCTTCAACTTTTGGATCTCAAACTTGTTTAATTTTTCTACTAGCACTACAGGTATCTATGTATATTCATGTCCTGAGAAGAATTGAGGTTTTTTATTTGTAAATGGTGTTTGAAACAGAACTGGGCTAGGATTGGCTGGGTAAGACTAGATAATCAGTGTTTGTCACAAAAACAACCTTTATGCTTGCAATTGCTAACTTTGACCCTTTCCAAAATTTTGGGAGCCCTGTGCACTGATCTTCCCTTGATATATAGTTATGTGGAACTGGATTAGGATGAGTTGGGTTGCCAAACACCTCAACCTGTTCCTGTACTCGAATTAGTGTTAGGTTGCATATCTTTTTCCAATCTTGCTTGTCTTGTCATTGATTTAGCTGATTCGGCACTCTAACAAAACCTGCTCACAAAGGGTCAGCTTATTTGCAATCTCTCTTGCAAAGCTCACAAATGCTATCGTCACTTTACAAAAGGACAAGGATGCAGATTGAAAAACAATTGAAGGCTTTGTTAGCAGCAAGATACTTGCAATTTTTGAACAACTACAGCAATGGATTCTAAGGGGCGGGACAAGGCCTAACCACCATCTAGCACTTGAAGACTTCCAACAAGCGAACCCACTAAAGATATCTAGTGGCCCCTTGAGTATTAGCCAAGAGTTCCTATTCTCCTTGTGCCTCTTGGAGGCTTCGAGGGGGCTGTGCTGGCTGATGTTTTTACTAGCTCTGCTTAGCAGAATCCCTCACATGGCATGGGAGAATGGGGTTGTTTTTTCCCTGGTTTGGCCCTCTGTGAAGGTCATTCAACACAAGGTTCGCAATACCGTACCATACCGGTATTTTGACTTGGGCTCGATACTGATACGGTACGGTATACCGAGCGGTACACCCAGGTGTACCGAGCACTGTAGCACTATAGCAGTGCTACAGTATACTCGGACCGGTAACAGTCTGTTCGCGTACCGAAAACCTGTCGGACCGGTACGTACCGCCCATACCGGGCGGTACGGCTCGGTATGGCAGACCCTGATTCAACAGATTAACTTGCAGATTGGTTTTCTACAATTGTGAGATTCAAATGCAAGCCAAAATGAGGTTGCTGGGATTCCACATGACTCACCATGTTACAACAATACAGGAAATTGTGGTTTAGCTGCGAGTGTTTCGTGAAATTTCTCCTACCTTTCTGTTGTGACCCTCATCAATTTGCACTTGGATGCTTAAATGATCTCATTTTCATGCTTAGTAACATTCATTGGTTTCCAACTTGCTTCTCTTGGGAAGGTCCCACTGGTGAACTTGTGGACGTCATCTCCGACATGCACTTGAATGCCGAAGGGAACTCTTCATGCCTCAAAGCATCACTATCTAGTTGCATGAGTCTTTAATTCCACCTCCTCGCCCATAGCATTAACTTTGATGTTTGCTCGCTTGTACTTATATTCAATCACCATGTCGAACTCTACTGGCTAGTCATCATATTGCCTATTTGGTGATAATTATTTCTTTTTCCGGAATAAGATCAACTTGATGTTGCATGAGTCTTTAATTCCACCTTGCTTCTCTTAGGAAGGTCCCACTGGTGAACTTGTGGACGTCATCTCCGACATGCACTTGAATGCCGAAGGGAACTCTTCATGCCTCAAAGCATCACCATCTAGTTGCATGAGTCTTTAATTCCACCTCCTCGCCCATAGCATTAACTTTGATGTTTGCTCTCTTGTACTTATATTCAATCACCATGTCGAACTCTACTGGCTAGTCATCATATTGCCTATTTGGTGATAATTATTTCTTTTTCCGGAATAAGCTCAACTTGATGTTGTCTGTTTAGAAGACAAACCATGCCCCCAGTAAATATTGCCTTCCAGTCTGTAGTCAATGCGTAACTGTGGTCATCTTGTCCATCAAATATTGCTGCTCAGACTTGTTTTGATTGTGGCTTCCATGAACTTCAAAGAACTTCACATAGTTTGGAAGTCTTAGCACTCATTCTTATATCACTGTAGCCTTAAGGTTTTGAAATACATCATTGCATTAGTCCGGCCACGGGCCACCTCCAAGGTTGCTGGTCCTTTCAGAACTTCATTAGTAGGGCTGCATGCTTTGAGTATATCTCAATGAAATACATACAAAAATTGATGAATTCAATGAAGAATTTGAGCTAGGACAATTTTTTGGTTTGCAATTCTGCCAGTCTTCATCTTCACACCATCCATTTGACTCAATCCACTGTCAAGTCAATGCCTGAAGAACATGATTTCTACTTGGGCAAAGTAGCACTTCTCCCACTTCATGTGGAATCATCTTGGAAAAGCTTGAAGATGGTCCGTAAGTGCTGGATGTGCTTCTATAGGTTTTAACTATATATGATGATGATCGAGGTAGATAATTTTCACAAACTTGTTCAAATAATCCTTAAACACGGTTCATTTGTACTGCCTGGTACGTACATACCCATCCTGGTGAAGCATCAAACCTTGCCTTAAAGTATAATTGTGATTTGTGTGTCAGCAGCAAGAAGGCACTTGCAAGTTTTGAATGATAGCGCATAAGAGGTTCTCAGAATAGCACATGGTCTAGTGGTCATTCAGTTTTATTAGGTGTCATTGTGGACTGGCTGCGAGCTATCAGTGGCACTCCTGATCTCAAAAGGATATCTGAACCCATCCACAATCCATGTTGTTTTCGGTTGGGCTACAGTCAATGCATCTGAGTTGCATAGTTGACTGGAACCAATACAACAAATTGTTTCTTTCTTGTTCTAATAGTATCTGTTATAAGAAAGAATGAGCTGTTCTAATATATGGACAGAAAATTAATTGCTTAATTTTTCATGGATTGTCATAGTAATTGTGGAGGACAAAGGCAAAAATTTATTTGTTGAAAGAAGTATTTCAACATATAGGAAGCAATATTCGTGTAAATGCTTTTTTCATATTCTCTGATGATAATGTCATGACGCGTACTTTAAATCAGCAAAATCCATTAGGTGATTTTTCTTCCATTCTTCCTGAACCATGGAAGTTACTTTTTATTTTATGTTTATGACTGTGGTTTGAAATCAAATAAATTTGTGGTTGGCTATGTCTGTATGTTTTTCAGCCCTTGTATTCTAATTTTCTTTAATATCTTTGGCAGTGTCATAGTTTAGGTGTTGAAGATTTAGGACTTCAATCTGGTGAGGAGCTTCATGCACTACGATCATTTTTGGTTATATTTAATGGGCTTATACTTGGAAAGCATAGACAACCACAGGTTTATATGATAATTATTTTAACTTTTGCAAACAGTTTTTCTATACTCAATTCTTATTACTCTCTTATTTAAAAACATGATCTTAATTTTGCAGAGATTTGCTAGTGCCATGAGAAAGTTGCGAAGGTGTGGTAAGATTGGGGAGTTTGTAAGCATTTTTGTGAATGAAAAACAGGTAGAATTTGTTTTGCCATGTTTTTATTTTTTTAAACTTCATGTTTGGAATGGGACCATGGACATGTATCAATTGCACTTTTACTGCATAATGAAATAATTGAATGTCCCTTATCTTTAGCATAAGATTGGATCTAATGCATTAATGCTTATGGTCAATTATATCTTTTGAATGCTTTGTCTTGTATTAGCAGATCTTGATGAGCAGTGGTGAGTCGCATTCATTTTTGAATTGAGCTACTTTTCCTGATGGTTTGGACATTATAGGATTCCCTAATCCAAAGATTGATAATACATGCTTGTCCCACTGAAACTCTGGCATACCTGTTTTGTGACTAAGGATCAGTTTTTGCTTTATGTAATTGATTTTCTTCTGGGCAAGCATAATGAAACAGTTTTACATTGTTCCTCATCAGTAGTTTGTTCATCATAAACTCGATTGTAGTCATCATTTTTTGATTGAAAAGCATGCAGCTCAGAACATGTCCATTGTCTTGCTTGCTTAATCTTTGTCCAGAAGAATATGATTCTACATATTCAAGTCATTTCCTGTTTCTTCTATCAAGAGGTTTTTAACTTGTCCAGTTTCTTAACGATGCTTGTTTAATTCTAGTCAGCTGTTCAATTCAGATGCTGAAAATTTAAATCATCCAACATTATGAGTTTTTGGATTTGTGTCCTATTTATAAACATCTTTGTTGAGGTCTGTAATGTACATTTTCCATGTTCATGTCGTGGTGGTGAAGGGTGGTTGTATCAGATACTGACAAGAGTATCATATTTTCAGAATCTATGCTTCTTTGTATGGATTATGGAATATTGATTAATAATGAACCTGTCAGAAGCA